GAGTAGGCCGCGTCTGCTATTTATTCTGTAGACGAAGGACTCGGAGGTTGCCTACACGTATATACTTGCATGTCTTTGTAAGCTTTTGTTGTACTACTCTCTCTCTCTCTCTCTCTCTCTCGCTTCGCGTCGGGAAAGGCGGGCCCAAGTACAGAGGCGACCAGAGCCATTGATCGACCGAGAAGCCCTCATGGGACACGGCAGCTAGCGGAAGGAAGGTCGACGCGAGGCAAGACGGCGGCGGCCCTTGAAGGCGGCCAACTGACGTAAACGCGACCCCGTCATCATCGAAGCCTCGCGCAATCGCGTGTCAAACGCACCGTCTGGCAGCCGGTGAAACGGCGACAGATCGGACTTGGTCAGTGGGACTGGCTAGGCTCGAACACGACCGGATCACATCAACAAGTTGTCGTGCACCCAAGTGCGACCTGCTGCGCCGCGCGTATATGGACGATGTCTTGGACGAGAGGCACGGAATGCAGGCGCGAGTAATGCCGCAGGGTGATAGGAAGGCGGGTGTCGCGCGTTGGGCCGCGCATCAACCTGAGCGAGCAAGGAATCGTCACGGCGTCCTTCAAGCCAACCGACGGTGGCCCCTAGTACTTGGTATTACTGGTCCCGAGGCGCCTCGACTCTCGTGACGCTCCTCGACCACGAGCGTTCTGGGCATGGACGATGCAGAGGCTGCACGCGAACGATGCGTCGTTTGGAAAGCAAGAACGCATCGAGAGGATTGTACACGAGACGATGCGGCGGGGGTTGCTTGGAAGCGTGGGGCTATATCAATACCATAATCACTCGTCGTGGACGTGCATGTGATTGTGTGACCATACCTCGTGGCACGCGGAGCGTCAAGTTGAAGTTGTTGGGATGGAGGACGACATGGCAGCGCGGCCTCGCACGAGGTTGTGGAGCAAGCTCAAAGGCGCGAGGCCGCGGGATGTGGTGAGCAGTGATGAGGCTGGTACTCGTTTTGATTGGAGAATCAAAAGCCGCTGGATGGATGCACGAGTGTACGTTGCTTGCTCCACGGGCATGGCCACGTCGTCCAGCGTGCTGGTACCACCACGCGACTCCTTTGACTAGGCAAGCGCTCGGACAAGTGGTGTTGCAGAGACGTACAGCCAGCTACAATCGCCACTGCGTTTCAAAAATCACTTGTTCGAAAGCTCGCGTCCTCCGTTGCCACGTTTCAAACGCGTCGATTCAAACACGGACATGGCGGCTAAGTACGACGCGGTGTCGCCCGAGATCCGGCAGTACCTGCGGGCGACGCTGACACCCGTGGTCTCCATCTATGTCCATTGCATGCACCAGCGCCGGCTCCGCGCCTTCCTCCTCTGGCGCATGCACGTGGCCAAGGTCGGCATGTGCGCGGCCCAAGCGCTCGTCACCGATCGCCTTCGGTACGTTCTAGCATCGTACTACCAATGTCGTCCACGCCACGGCGCATTGCAGCATCGTCGCACGTGGGCTCGTTCGCGCGCGCACGGCGGCGCAGATCGCTTCGTCTCTCTGGCGTCTCATGACGCGGTCAAGAACCAAGCGCCTCGTGCATGGGTTGCTGCGCTGGAAGCTCGTGGTGACGCAGTATGCTCAGATTGCATCGTACGCGCCCGAGTACATGCATTGGATCGCGCGGCATCCAAGTACTACGACGCTCCAAAGAGCGTCTTAGCAAATATGGATGCGTAGTGCACCTGCCGTTGCTGCAGGATCGCGATGCGCTGCTCCAGTGCAAGGCAACGCTACTGCTTCGTGGTAATCCGCTCTGGACGGCAAGGAGTCTGAGAATGGTGATGGCCCTTTTCTATGGTAGCGGTAGCTCGCTGTCGCCCGTGCCACCCTGCATGGCACCGGTGGAAGCGAGTACGCGTCCGACGCGCAATTCTCTGTGATCGAGCACTGGCTAGGTGACCCGGACGTGGCCCTTCATGGCGCAGTGTCTCCAGCGCCTCTACCTTGCTTTCCTCTTGCACGTATACAACGTTTGTTCTGCGTACGGATTGGCTACACGTGGCAGCGTAGCGATGGCGCACGTATGCGCAGGCAAAGCACACGACGCGACGCATTGCAAGCACGACGTGTGCGCGGCTGCGCGTACGAGGCGTCGTTGAAAACGGAGATGACGTGGCGCTCTGTAGTCGCACCACGCGCGTGTCGCGGTCCAGCGCTGGCGTCAGCAGACTACCACCCGTCAGCAAGCACGGACGCAGCGCCACGTCATGCGTCTTGGTAGAGGAATCCACTACAGTGCTTATGCTGTTAAAACCCACTTTTGTCTAGCCCGCAAGCGGTTCGTGACGTCACAGGTCTTTGCACGGGTACGCTCGATCTACCGCATGTAGCTCAAGGATCCGTGGGTGGCGTAGTGGCAGGCGACCGTCGTTCGCTGGCACCACCAGCGTACTCGAGTTCGGACTCTCTTATCAAGCCTGCACCGCGTATGGCAGTCGAGACTCGCGGCGGCATGGACACACTGGTCTACCGTGCATTCGAAGCGCCAGGTATATACACTTGCAAAAGGGCATTGGTGTACGTCATCCGCTGTAGCGCGCCGCACAGAGTCTGCAACGCATTCTCACGCGGCGCCGACATCGCGACCTCGACAAAGCCTTTCTTGCACTACGCTTTCATGTAGTACTGGAGGACAATACGTACACGGTTCTGAATTGCAGCGTAGAGTGCCACGCGGCGCCACTGCACCGAGGCACGGCACATGCAGCAGCAGTGGCACTATGGAACGACCGCTGCGACCTGCCTCCGGTAGCTTACGAGGCGCAGGATTCATTCGGCAGCACCCACATCAACAACAATCCATGCGTAGGCTGTGGTGCCAGCGTCAGCAACATCGCTTGTACCGGGGCTTTGCCACGTGGCAGCACCACAACGCATGCTTGCGTCACGTCGAGAGGTCCAGTCGCATCCAACGACTCTGCACGCACTATCAGCGATGGCAAGCGCATCACACGCTCTCGTTGGCGATGCACCATCGAGCGCACACGGCAAGACAGCGCTTGCAGTGGCGTCAGGTACCAAGTCGTGGCTCGCCGAATCGACTTAAAAGGCGCTCGCATTAGCTGGCAACGGTGCTCCAGTCCTGGCGACGTGGCGTGCTGGCGGCGCAGGCGCTGCGAGCTACGGCGTTTGCTGCCTGGAAGAGCAGCTCACATGAAAAGCATCACCATCGAACGCTCGCGTATCGTTGCCTCCAGCGCCTCTATGCGCGGCATTGGTGGCAGCGGTGGCTTGGTACGTTACCCTACTCCTACCCTACCCCCATCTCTCCATTTTCGCGTAGCGGCCCATCGCCGTCAGAGACGCAAGTACCTCGCATCCCTCGGGGCTCCAATGCGCTGTGCTAATATCGATGCTGCGAGTACGAGGCTCCTCGCGCAGACGCTGTGCTTTGCGACGTGGAAGCTACGAGCGCTGGCGGCCAAGGCCGTTGGGATGGTACCCACTGCATGGACATGGACTTGACGACGACGTCTCCTCCTAGGCGACACGGAACAAGTGGCTCTGCCAAGACGCGGCCAAGCATATGCGCGCAACGTACTTCCAGCAGTACGCTACGCGATGCAAGGGACGGTTCAAGTGCAACATGAGAGACGATAGGTGGAAGGGCCTCGCGACGTCGGCCACGCTGCGGCGACACTGTAGGTGTACGACGAGGCGGCGTGGCAGCTGGAGTGTTGCGTAGGTGTGTCCTATGAAGCACTTGCTTTGGGATTGGCGGCGCGGCTCGAACGATCGATGATCTGTCGCCGCGTCATGTCTCTTGTGGCGGTAGCGTGGCACGCATGCTGCCGGTGCATTGACCAAGGGTGGTGTTCTGTAGCACTGGCGTTGTTGGGCGACGAGAAAAGGTCGACACCGACGTCTTCTGGACCGAGCGCGTCTGCAAAATCGCATTCGCCGACTCGTGCGGTGCGTCGACACTTGCACGTTCTCCAGTGCAAGCGTCTGTGTAGGGCGATGGACGTATGGAGACACCATGTACGTCACAGCCTGCGTGTCAAGACGCTGCAGCAGTCGCGACAACGCTCCCTGCAGTACGAGTGTTCTATCCTTGACCACGTACAGAGTTAACGCATCGTAGCGTGTCTGCGTTTCGACAGTGGACGGCGCTTGTGACGTGGCGGCGTCAGCTGCGTCTGCTCGGGGCGCGCTGGCAACGCTTGCGTCTGCATGAGTGCATGCATGCACCCTTCGATGCGTGGCGCGGCCCTTTTGTGGGCCTCGAACGGACGTGTCGACGTGCCTTGGCTCGGTGCTTGCACAAGACATCGCTCGCGGTATCCAATTTAAGATCAAGTTGATACCTACTTGATACATTCAGATGTATCGGCACGCGTGGGGCCAATGGCGACGTGCACAGCAACGGCGCGCCGATGACGAAGCGGTACGAGCATGCGGACTCGCATCGTCCTGTGTGCTGGATACGAGCGATGATTATCTTGTTCGGTGTAGACGCAACAGCTCACGATTCTTCGCGTATGGATGGTATGGCAACAACACGTGCTGCGAGCGCGACATGTGAAGCACCAGCTGCGTCGGCGGCTGCGAGGTGACGAGCCGTGCGACGATACATCGCATCACAGTCATGTAGGCATGCTGCACGCAGCGCGTCGTCGTGCGTGGCAGGTGTGGCAGACACATACAGTCGTCCACCGGCATCTCGCCCTGGCCGCTGCACAAGCGTCCGCGGCGGCGGCGACCACTGCTATCCTGGAGCGATCCACCGCAATCGAGTGCGACCACGCGACACAGACCGACACATTTGAACCAGAAAGCGTGATGGCGCTGAAGGAGCTCCAAGCCACCCATGCAGCACTCGTGCAGCTCTACCAGCAGAGCCAGACAGAGGCCGCCGAGCATCTGCGGGAGCGAGCGTCGTGGCACCGCCAACTCGATGGCGTCATGATGGAAAAGACAACCTTGATCGCAGGCCTCGACGAGTGCAAGGCGCGACTGCAGACGGCCAAGCAGCTCGCCCACGACAACCGCGTCAGCACTTGCAAGAACGATACCCATGTGTCTTAGAGATGGTTGTGTAGGCGCTGCGTGCTCTCGTCGCCGATACCGCAGCCCAGCGACAGCAGATAGCGCAGCTCACAGGTACGACGTCGCTTGTATCGAGCTCACCGAGAAACGAGACGAGCGCAGGACGCTGCGTTCTCGGCGAGCGCATGCTTCAGCGCCTCGAACTCGAACTCACAAACGAACGGTGCGAGCGGGCGCGCGAGCTGGATGCGCACCATGCACACACCAATGACCTCACAATCCAACTGGCCACGGTATGTATGGGGCTGTACATGGTTGCGATACTCGATCCAACGTGCGTCTAGGTGCGCGAACGCTGCACGCACCTCGAAGACATGGAGCGGTACATGTGTCTGCGATATTGTCGTCGAGTGTGCCCACGGGACCCTAGCTACACCGTCAAGCTCCAACACAAGCTGGCGCTGCAGGAAGACCGCTGGCAGCGCGCCAAGCTCGCGAACTTTGAAGCGACGCTGCAGCGCATGGACGCGGCGACAAAACCCGAACCCTAAGTTCCCCGTCCCCGTCTATAAAAGCATCATAAATGCAAAGCGTCCTTTTCTATTTTCCATCGGCGGCTCAAATAAACTGATCAATCGCCTGCTTGAACCGAGGAAAACTCGAGAAGGTTGTCTTTCCTACGTATTGGGATGGGTTGATAGATTGATACAAAGAATGTACATGGAGAAAGGACTAGACGATGGTAAATTCGGCATGTTCGAGCTGTGCAAGCGCGTGGAGACCGTCTCGCATCAACTCTTTAGTCGGGTACAGTGGCAAGTCGATGCGGTTGAAGCATGCGTGGGCCCGCGGAAAGACGCCGCGCGTGAACGGAATCGCCTCGACGGTAAACGGACAGAGACGACCGTCAAAGCTTGTGAGGCCTTGAAAGCCCTGGATGGGCACGCGCGACGAGCCCGTCGTGAACTGCAGCAAGTGGCGGCGCTGCGTCGGCGTCATGTCGCGCAAGAGCTCCCAAAACCACGTGGCGCTGGTGGTCGCAGCGTGCGCTAGCGCCATCTTGGTGTGGCGCTTCCAATCGTCTACGTCAAGGTCGGCCGCCGAACCAGCGACCAAGAGGCCAAGCTCTTGGTAGTCGAACGGTAGAACCAAGTCGGCTGGCATGACCTAGTAGAAGCCCACGCGTCAGATGATGATGATGCTGCATCGAATTGGAAGAGGGATGATCGACCTCGTTGAAGCCATGCAAGAGCGAGGTTAGGGGCTGCTGGACACGGTCGAACAAGAGGTACTGGACCATACAGTCCACGTAGGCGGCGCGGTTGGATAGCGTCACGGGTATGTCTTGGCCGTTGGGCAGCAGCGGCACGAGGTCGGTCTTGCCACGGGCGACGGTAAAGTCCAAGCAGAGGTCGTCGACGGAGGACGCTGTCGCAATGTAGTGCAAACTGGCGGATGTCGTTGGATCGAGATACGCAATGTCGGCAACCGAGAGCGGTGCGCCCACCAGTGCTTTGAGCAGCGGCACGCAGAGCGGCTGCGGAAGCACTTGACCGTCGAGCATCGCCCGCGCCAAGAGACGACCCACGGCGCGAAAAAGTGTTAAGTTGGTCGGCTCGAGGCTCGTGTTATGGTCGATCATGTACGCACCGTCGTCCTTGTGGTTGATGCAAAAGAGCCCGGCCGACGGCGCTAAGACTGCCGCAAGAACGAGGCTGTACCATTCGCGCTGGAGGCCACCGGCGTCCACGCCGCTCTCACCGAGCATCGTGATGCTGGTCGTAGAGCAGAGAGAGGCCGGTGCAATCTGCAAGAGCAAGGGGATCGACTCGAACGCAAGGTCTCGGTACACGTTGAGCTTGGTCGTGGACCGCGACGTGTGGCTGAGTCGGGTGAAGAAGGCAGCGACCTTGGTCGAGAAGGACGCGTCTTGCAGCGCGATGAGCTGGCGCCACTGCCACCGCGTCAACGTCTCGCCGGTCGCCGGGGCAACGAATGGGGACATGGTCGCCAGCGGCGTCCACGCACACGTGCTGGTCTCCGGGTCGTAGGCAATCACAAACTGGCCGTGCATGGAATCGGAAGAGGACCACTGCAGGTCCCCGGTCGGCGTCAAGGTCCGCGCCCACTGCTTGCGGCGCCTACCAACATCCAATCGTTCGAGAGATGATGATGGATTGTGACGACGAGCGTACATGGCACTCTGCTGCCGGAGACTCAAGGCAGCGGTTGGCGACGCGTCTTTGGCGGCGTCGCAGAGAGTGCAATGCATGGTGCGAAGCTGGTTGTGGAAGGCGCAGATCGGACACGTCCAGCGTGCAGCGTTCCTACAAGCGGGCTACGCGCATGGATGTGGGATGTACGACGTACGGATCATCGAGGTTCTGGCGCTGAAGTCCGTCTTGAAAGTTGCCCAGAAAGCTAGGCATCGAGTGAGACGATAGGTATGCGGTAGCGACGACGTACTCTTCTTCGAGGAGCGCGGCTTGGCTTGGCTGACAGCAGCAGTGCCGAAGGATGCGCCACGCTGCTAAGAGGAATGCCAGCGCCAGCACCACTTGCAGCACGCGCATGAGCGTCATCTGACTCTCGTCGTTGCCCATGCTCGCTGCTTGGAAATGCAATTGTGATGGCCCAAGGTTCCTGGACAGGTCCGTTCAAGGGACCTACGTGATCGCCGTGTCCAACGGAGTCTGTTGGACACAGCGATCGCGTCTCTGCACCTCGACGCGCCACGTTCGCATATCCGGATGGGTCACTTGATGGCTGGGTTTATGAATGAACTTGGCATTTGTATGGACAGCTTGCCCGCGGATCGGACGAGGATACAAAACACAAGCTTAAAAGCAGCCATTAACTGACCCTTTACCGCAGGGTCGGAATTTTGCTTTCTTTGTGCCGAATTGAAAGCAAATTAGATTCGGCACATTCGGCATGTGCCGATCGCCGCAGCTTCAACGTGTGGCTCGACGACCACATCGGGTTGTGTACGCAGTGGCTTCTCGCGTGCTGCCAGCGGCAGGATAGAGGCTATCGCACTTGCATCACATACCGCATGCTTCTTGCAGGTCGTGCCTTTCTGCCGTGGCAGAAATCGAGGTCGCGGACAGGATTGTTGGGTGCGGGTTTAAAAGATGGCATATGCCACATGCCATATGCCACTTTGAACCGGACGGAGGTGCCACACGCAAGAAGTCCCTGATCATGCTCAAGCACAAGCTCAAGGATCGGGACGTCGACGCCGTGGCCGCGATCTTGACGCGGCTCCAGGCCAAGGAGGCGCATGTGCGCGAGACAGCGGCCCTCGACCTCCGCGCGGCCGTGGCCACGCTCTCGCGCGAGCTCACGTCCGAGACTTTTGCGCGATTCCTCTCGGAGCTGACGCCACGCCTCCAGAGCCTCCTCCAGAGCCCGAGCTTGGGCGACCAGCTCGGTGGCATCGCCGCCGTCGAAGCGCTCATTCCCGTCGCGACCGAGGCGCAGATCATTCGGTTCGCCAACTACCTCCGGTCGTTCTTTGTCACGTGCGAGTCGAAGGACGGGCTGCGCGCAGCGAGCCTCGCGCTCGGGAAGCTCGCGTCGACGACCGAGATGGGCATCAGTGGCACGCTTGTCGCGGCCTTTGTCGACTTTGAAGTCAAGCGCGCGTTCGAGTGGCTCACGAACCCGTGCTTCAACAGCAGCCAGAGCCACCGCCGGCTCGCGGCCTGCTTGGTCCTCAAAGCGCTCGCGGTCGCGGTGCCCACGCTCTTTCACGTCAACCTCTCGACCTTCTTTGTCGCGATCTGGCCCGCGATCCGCGACGCCCGCGTCGACGTGCGCGATGCCGCCACGGTGCGCGTCTCCCTTCGCATGCACGCATGATGGCTCATCGATGCATGCTGCATAGGATGCGCTCGCGGCGTGCCTCCAGCTCATCTCGATGCGCCAGACGCGCCACCGCGTCCAGTGGTACTGCAAGATCTACGACCAAGTCCAGGAAGGCCTCAACGTCTCATCGCGCTCGGGTACGAGTGCGTCGGCCTCCATCATCATCATCATCTCTCTCAACCTCTCCGTCTAGGTACGTCGGTGCAGATTCTCCCGACCAAGACGCCAGCTTGGGACGCGATTCATGGCTCGCTGCTCGTGGTCATGCAGCTGCTTCAGAACACGGGCAGCTTCATGGTGCCCCGATTCCGCGAGGTTCCTTCTTTCATAGTCCCACACGATGGAGACTATTGTCATCTAGGTGTGCGACATTGTCTTGTGCTACAAGGACTCGCGCGACAAACTCGTCGCGCGGTCCGTGTGCCTGCTCTTGCCGCAGCTCGCCGCGTACTGCCCCGGTATCGATCCCTCGGCCTCTTTCATCGCACACTATCTATGGTGTGTAGACGCGTTTGTCCGACACTATTTGAGCACGTGCGTGACGCACCTCATGAAGCGCATGACGACGTACGTCTCGGCGGCCGAGCGAGGCGTCGCGTTCCTGGCGCTTGGCCACCTCGCCTTGTCGGTCGGCGGTACCGGCTTTATTTTTTTTATTGTCGCATTTTTCTCATTTTTCAATGGTTTATAGACCACTTGGTGCCGCAGCTGCCGAGCATCGTCGAGCTCCTCCAGGACGGCATGAAGCGCAACCGGTACTTTTGCATCGAGACGCTCATGTGCGTGGCGCATTTCACGCGCGCGTGCGGCGCTGCGTTCGAGCCGTACTTGCCGTCGCTGGTCGACCAAATGATGGAAGGCGGGCTCAACGACCCGCTCGTCGAGGCGCTCGCCGACATCACCAAGACCGTGCCACTGCTCTTGACAGGCGTCCAGGAGCGACTCCTCAACGAAATTTCACTCGTCTTGCGCGGTAGCCCCTCTCGACTCCCTTGCGAACGGTCCACGAATGGTATTCGATAGGCGTGACGTTTGCGCCGTCACTTGACGACAAGCCAATGAAAGCGCGCAAGGCCGGCCGGCGGGACGAAGCGTCGCCGGCTGCTCTCTCGCTCTCGCTCAAGACGCTCAGCTGGTTCAACTTTCACGGCCCATTTTCGATTCTACCGTTCGTTCGCGACAGCGTCTGCTTGTACCTCACGCACCATGACATGACGGTCCGCAAGCAAGGTAGTACGACGACGCTGTCATGGCACTGACACGGACACGGTAGCGGTGGTGGCGTGCGCCAAGCTGCTCTTGCCGACGGCCGTGCCCAAACGCGGTCCCAGCGGCCGCGTGATCGACGACGTCTTGCAGCAGCTGCTACAGGTCGGCGCATCGTGACGTGCTTGCGATGTGGATGGAGACGATGACAATGTAGGTGGGCATTTCGGACGTCGACTCGAACGTCCGGAAGAGTGTTGTCGAGTCGCTGGACGCGCGCTTTGACGAGTGGTTGAGCCAAGAGACGCACTTGACGCTGCTCTTCTTCCTCCTCAACGACGGTGTGTGGAAACTATTGTCTATCACACTGGACACGATTGTCTATAAAATCATTGGCATTAGAAACGCCGAGTATCCGAGAAGGCACCATGTGTCTTTTGGAGCGTCTCGCACCACTCAACCCTGCTTTTATCTTGCCATTGCTGCGCCGCGTCTTGGTGCAAGTACGTGCTTTGAGAAGGATCGAAGTGGGGACCAGAGGATGCTTTGTGTAGTTGCTCACGGAGCTCGAGCACGCGATGGATCTGCGCATGCTCGAAGACAGCACACGTCTCCTTGGGCGCCTCATTCGCGGCTCGCAGCACCTCATCGAGCCGTACCTGGGCCGCGTTCTGCAGGTGGCGCCGATGCGGTTTGTATATCGGTGTATCCATCCTGCATGTCTCTAGGTGCTCTTGCCCAAGATCCAGCATGGGAATGCGATGCAGCAGAACCTCGCCAGCGCCGTCCTGACGACCATTGGCGAGCTGGCGCTCGCGGTGCATGTGCGTCCGTTGTCTTTTAACAAAAACGATGCGATCTCTACTACGTAGGAGCCCATGGCGGCGTACGAGCCCGCGCTGCTGCCACTCATTCTCGACGCCCTCCAAGACCACGGGTCGATCCAGAAGCGTCAGGTGGCGCTGGTGACGCTCGGGCAGCTGGTACGACGAAAATGAAAGACGGTGTGGATGACGTCCATGGTGTCCTTAGACGGGCAGTACGGGCTCGGTCGTGCAGCCGTACATTAGCTACCCCAAGATCCTCGACGTGCTCTTGGATTTGCTGCAGCACACGGCGGCGACGCCGTGGCAGCTTCGACGCGAGGCCATGAAGACGATCGGCATTCTTGGTCTATATTGACGCGCGAAATGTGGACAGATTGTCTGACAGACATGTCTCGAACTAGGTGCGCTGGACCCGTACAAGTACAAGCTGTGCATCTCGAGCGCGTCGCTGCACGAAGGCAACGTGGAAGAAGGCGGTGTCGGCCTTGGGTCGCTCTCGATGACGCGCAAGTTCAAACCCACGTACGTACGCGTTCTGTCTTGCTCCTATCTCATCGCACGGTATCAGGGACATGGGCCCGAGCATGGACGAGAAGCAGCAGATCGAGCTGCAGCTGTTCACTGCAGCGCCTGTGGGCACGCGTCGCCCCGAAAAGCCCAAGTACTGTGCCTCAAGGCGGAGGCGATTGCACTCACATATTGTCTCTCGCTGCCTCTTAGAAAGGTGCCGGGCAAGCGCAGTATGATGGCCAAGACCCTCGAGGCCGCGACCTTGCCTCGTAAATCGCTACCTTCGTTTCGTGTGCTGAATGCGACGTGTTGTCGTAGCGGTGGACGGGTACCTCGACCACGAGCTGCTCGAGACGCTCGATGTCGATTTGGAGCTCGAGCTCGATCCGCGCGCCGTCGCCGTGTCGTCGGAAGCGTACTTTCCGACCGTCGCCATCCATGCGCTGCTCAACATTCTCAAGGAGCCGTCACTCAGTGTGCACCACTATGGTATCATATGCCACTTGCCATAATTTTGGAGGATACCAATGGCATGCGTAGGCGTGATCCAGGCCATCATGTTCATCTTCAAGTCGCTCAGCCTCCAGTGCGTGCCGTTCTTGCCGTACATTGTGCCGCCCTTCCTCCACGTGCTCGCCCGCGGTATCATCCACGCGACAATGCGACAATGCGACTCATCGATGTCGGCTCGATAGGCGAGCCTCGGCTGCGCGACTCGCTCTTTCTGCAGCTCACAGTGCTCACGTCGATCGTGCAAGCCCATCTCGGGTCGTTCTTTCCCGCCATTATCGTACTGGCGCTCCGCCATTGGCGCGCCCACCTGCCGCAGATCGTCCGCCTCGTCGAGGTACTTGTTTCTTGTTGTGTATTTTGCGGATTTGACGACCTTTTTCAGAAAATTGCGGTCGCTGTGCCGAGTGATTTCCGCAACATTTACTTTCCCCAGCTCCTGCCCAAGATCCTCGAAGTGCTCCAGCCGCACCCGCACTCGGACCTGCTCTTTTTCAGTGGTCTTGTCTCCCTTTGTCTGTACATCATCGTCATCGTTTTGTGTGTAGACGCGGCCGATGGCAGTGGCACAAGTGCAGCGGCCGGTGCGCCGTCGTCGACGACCGATGGCAGTGGCACGGGCGTGACGTCGGTTCCGAGTACGTTGCCGTCGGGCACGGATCCGGACGGCGTCGCGCTCGACAAGAAGGAGAGCACCAAGCATCTTTCGTACGCTTGGCTTTTTGTGTTGAGATTCGGTTTGAGAGTCGCACGAATAGGGTGCTGGCGTCGATCCAGATGCAAATGGTGCACTTGCTCGTCGTGTGTGGGTCGTCGGTCGACGAAGCTGTGTACCTCCTCTTGCCGGCGCTGACGCGGCTTTTGGAGCACAGCGACACGGCGCTCGAGGTCTCGTGGCTCGAGAAGGCACCGTTTTTTTACCGTATTTTGACGGCGTAGGTCAAGACGAGCATTGTCACGTTGCTCGCGCAGCTCACGCAGCTCGGCGACTACGAGCACTATGCGGGTCCGCGCCTTTTGTTGCCGCTGCAGCGCGCCGTGCGATCGACGCTGCAGTCGTCGTCGGCCGTGCTTCGACCCGACGTACGGTCCCCTTTTTCTTTTTCTTTTTTTCATGTTGCGATGCATGGTAGATGCGGAAATTTGGCGACGCGGTGCTCTACTGCCTCTGCGCGGTCGCGTACCAGCTCCAGGACGGCCTCGTGCAGTACACGCCGCTTGTCAAAGCGATCGGCCGCGTGCTCGAGACGCAGCTCGAGCTCAACATCACGTACCTCGAGTCGCTTGTCGCCAAGCTGCTGGCGCAAGACCGCATCGTGCGCGACGACTTGATACACCCATCGCTTATGACGCCCGAGCTCCAAGCGTGGCTGGACGTGAGCCGCGAAACCCGCGCGCCCGTCGTCGTCCCTGCCGCGTCGTCGTCGTCAGTGCCGCGCCTGCACGTCAACCAGCAAAACCTCCGGCGTGCGTGGGAAGCGTCCCAGCGGTCGACCAAGGATGGTGCGTCTATCTTGTGCCCCGGTGGGGTTTCAAGTGATTTGATGTTGTTGTCTAGACTGGCTCGAGTGGATGCGCCGGTTCTCGATCGAGCTGTTGCGGGAATCCCCGTCGGCGGCCTTGCGGTAATGCACTACGCTGGGTTCGATACTGGTCGCTAGAGCGGATATGTGTGCTGGATTAGGTCGTGCTGCTCGCTGGCGCAAGCGTACAATCCGCTCGCACGTGCGCTCTTCAACTCGGCGTTTGTTTCGTGCTGGAACGACCTCCACGAGCAGTACCAAGACTACCTGGTGCGCGCGCTCGAGACGGCGTTCCAGAGCGACACGATCTCGGCCGAGATTCTCCAGACGCTGCTCAACCTCGCCGAGTTTATGGAGCACGACGTCGAGGCACTCCCGATCGGTAGGACCCTACCCCTCTCTCGTTGTTCTTCTAGTGAGGTGGCTTAGACATTCGCGAGCTCGGCGAATTGGCGCAAAAGTGCCATGCCTATGCCAAGGTACCGAAGATTCTTGTCGATGGATGGACTGGAAGCGAGAGCGTAGGCGCTGCACTACAAGGAGCTCGAGTTTCACACGTCGCCGAGCACGTGCATTGAAGCCTTGATTTCGATCAACAACCAAGTCGGGCAGCCAGAAGCCGCGGTGGGCATCCTCAAGTACGCGCAGCTGCACCACCGCAGCGTCATCCAAGTCAAAGAGTCGTGGTACGAGAAGCTCCAAAACTGGCAAGGCGCGCTCGACTTGTACGACGCCAAGCTCGCCGAGCCGACGACGACGGTAGGATTGCTGGCTTTTCTACCGTGGCCCTACTGAAATGATGTCTAGGGGGCACTCGACCTCGAAGCGGCGACCGGCAAGATGCGATGCCTCGAAGCCTTGGGCGAGTGGGAGGAGCTCGCGGCCTTGGCCAAGCATGTGTGGGCCTCGCTTCGTCCGTCAACCGACGCGCCATCGTCCTTGGTACAAACGTTTGGTCGCCTGCATCGCAGCCGACCTGTGTGTTGTAGGCGTCGTCGCGCCCCAAGCCCAAGCGTGCGCCGGCGAGTTCGACGGGTACATGGCGTTTTCGTGGCCGCGCTGACGTGACGCGGCGTAGGACCGGTGGACGACGGCAGCAGCGGCACGGACGAGTCCCATCTGACGACCGTCGCCATGCTCGGGTAGTCCCTCAATACATGGAAAGGTCCTTTGTAACAAGGTACTAGCGCCCGCGCCTGCTGGTGGCTCTCCGAGTGGGACACGATGGAGCAGTATGTGCAAGGTGTCCAGACCGACCCGGCGTTGCTCGCACCGCCGTTGCCCGGGTACATTGCAATTCCACCCATTCTATCAAGGTATCAACTTTTGGCGATGTAGGACGGATCCAGAACTTGGCGCGGTCGCGTCGCTCTACAAGTCGGTGCTGGCCGTGCACCACAACCAGTTTGAGGACGCGCAGAGCTGGATCGATGCGACCCGCAAGGCGCTGGATACGACGCTTGGTGCGCTGGTCGGGTAGGCCTCGTGTGATTGGCCAAAGCCTATATTGATACATTGATGTAGCGAGTCGTACATTCGCGCGTACCGTACGGTCGTGACGCTGCAGCAACTCTCGGAGCTCGAAGAGATCATCACGTACAAGAAGCTGCGGCTCCACGTCGGCAAGGCGGACGAGGCCGCCAAGTACAAGCGGCGCATGGTGAAAATGTGGCAGACGCGGCTCACGGGTACCAACGCCCCTGCACGTGATGGATGGATACATGCCATCGTAGGCTGCAAGCGGGTTGTGGACGTGTGGCAGCAACTCCTTGCCGTGCGATCGCTCGTGCTGGCGCCCCACGAAGACATTGAGACGTGGCTCCAGTTTGCGAGTCTCTGCCGGCAGTCGGGCAACCTCGCCCTCTCGCTCAAAGTGTTTACGCACGCGCTGGCCGTGCACACGCCGGGACTCGAACTCGCGACAAAGACTGCGTCGTCGTTTCGCGGCCCTGGGTTTGCCAACGTACGACACATGTGCGAGAGTCGTATCGTGTGTCTGAAGCAAGGCGTAGATGGGCTTTTCAACGCTTGGGTACTCGGAGAAGGACCACCACCGTGTTGCGTTTGCCTACCTCAAGCATCTCTGGGCCGTCGGGGAAAAGCAAAAGGCGCTCACCGAGCTCGGGACGCTCGTGCAGACGCTCTCGCGTCGGTCGCCCCTCACAGGTAGGCCCTCTACCTCTCGTATATGTCTTTTGCTCGCTGAGAATTGATATTGGACGGTACTAGTCGGCGCCGTGGCAACCAATCAAGACGAGGAGATTGTCAAGTGCCACCTCAAGTGGGCCGAGTGGCAGCTCGCCATCCACGAGCAGCAACTGGACCGTGTCCCGATCGCGGCTGTGCTCAATGCGCTCAAGACGAGCACGGAGCTCGAGCCGTCGAGCTACAAAGGTACACCTTTCTTGATACGTTGATACATTTTGGATATGATGATGGTGCGTAGCGTGGCATGCGTGGGCGCTCATGAACTTTCATGTGGCCGAGTACCACTCGCAGCTACCGCCAGGGTCCAACCAGGTCCTGCTACCGGGCAAGACAGAGGCGTCGGACCTCGGGCCATACATTGCGTCCGCGATTGAAGGCTTCTTCCGGTCGATTGCACTCGGCCGGTCGCGCTGGGCCGCCAACGTGCAGCAAGATATCCTGCGTGTGCTCACGCTTTGGTTTGCGTACGGCCACCGCTCGGACGTCCACGGCGCGCTCGTGTCTGGTTTCCAGAGCGTGAGCATTGAGACGTGGCTGATTGTGATTCCGCAGCTCATTGCGCGGTCCGTCATTCAAAACAAAAGAAGAAGAATCCACGTATCCACCACCTATATGTAGGATTCATTCGCCGCACCCGCGCATCCAGAGCCAGCTGCATCGGCTCTTGTCGGCGATCGGGACGCAGCACCCGCACGCGCTCATCTATCCGCTCAGCGTCGCCCTCAAGTCGCCGCTCGAGGTATTTGCCTCTCTTGGGGATAGATCGATCGGAGACGACGAGCAACTAGGTCCGGCAACGCGCGGCCGAGGCCATTATGAACTCGATGCGAAAGAACTACGTCGACTTGGTCAACGAAGCCCTCCTCGTGTCGCGGGAGCTCATCCGCGTCGCGATCCTCTGGCACGAACTCTGGCACGAAGGCTTGGAAGAAGCGTCGCGCTTGTACTTTGGCGAGCACGACGTCGAAGGTAGAGCTATGCTTGATCGTCTTTTTGTACTAAAATATGACAACGCTAGGCATGATGGCGGTGCTTGAGCCATTGCATGCCATGATGGACAAGGGACCTGAGACGCTGCGGGAAGTGAGCTTCCACCAAGCGTTTGGGCGCGACCTCAAGGAGGCGTACGACTGGATCCAGCGCTATTTGAGTCCGCACGGCGCCAAGAACGGTGCGTGCTTTGTTTCCACTGGATACTATGTTGTTACAACAACAATTCATGTCTAGAGTCGGACTTGAACCAGGCGTGGGACCGCTACTACCACGTCTTTCGCCGCATCAACAAGCAGCTGCCGCAGCTCACGACGCTCGAGCTGCAGTATGTGAGCCCGAATCTGCTCCACGCCCACGAGCTCCAGCTGGCCGTGCCCGGTACCATTTCCATCCATTTTTTCGTATCAAGTTGATAATTGGATGCGCAGGCACGTACCGCGCGGGCCATGCGATCGTCAAGATCCGGTCGTTTGTGCCGACGATGCTCGTGCTCACGTCCAAGCAGCGCCCGCGGTACTGTGTGCTTATACCAAAAGAAATCGACGACGACGCGGGATGACGCAGGCGCATCACGATCGTGGGCACGAACGGCCTCGAGTACATGTTTCTGCTCAAGGGCCACGAAGACCTGCGCCAGGACGAGCGCGTCACGCAGCTCTTTGGGCTCGTGAACGCGCTTTTGATCAACGACCGGACGACGTCCAAGAAGGACCTCAAGATCACGCGGTACCCGGTGATTCCGCTGAGCCACAACGCGGGCATTGTCGGTAGGTGGCCGTGTTGTCTTGATACATTGATAGATCGAGGCTATGGTAGGATGGGTGCCCAACTGCGATACGCTGCACCAGCTCATCCGCGATTACCGCGAGGCGCGCAAGATCCTCCTCAACATTGAGCACCGGTCCATTTCATGACATATTCGATGTCGCGTTGTGGAGAATATGACAATGTATATCTATCGATAGGCTCATGCTGCAGATGGCACCCGACTATGACGTGCTCTGCCTGCTTCAAAAGGTCGAGGTGTTCCAGTATGCGCTGGAGAACACGGCCGGCCAAGACCTCTACAAAGTACAGATTGTCGTTCGTCGCATGGACGAGATGCCAAGAAAGGCCGTGTATTGTAGGTGCTCTGGCTTAAGTCGGAAAATTCGGAGGTGTGGCTCGACCGCCGCACCAACTACACGCGGTCGCTGGCTGCCATGTCCATGGTATTTACTCTTGTATTAAACACACAGAGGATACTATTGTACATTCGACGCCTAGGTGGGGTATATCCTCGGCCTTGGCGACCGCCACCCGTCCAACTTGATGCTGCACCGCTTCACGGGCACGATCGTGCACATTGATTTCGGCGACTGCTTTGAGGTCGCCATGCAGCGTGAAAAGTACCCCGAGAAGATCCCGTTCCGGCTCACGCGCATGCTGACCAACGCCATGGAGGTGCGTCATGGATTCTTCTTCAAATGGGATCGATGTGGATGATGCATACTGTCTTATGGAGAATAGGTGAGCGGCATTGAAGGCAACTTTCGGTTCTCGTGCGAGTCGGTCATGCAAGTGCTCCGCGACAACCGCCACTCGCTCATGGCGATGCTCGAGGCCTTTGTCCACGACCCGCTCATTTGCTGGCGCCTCGTACGTCTTGTATCAAGTCGTATGTATCAAGATGACACGCCGCCTCGTAATATCTAGCTCGCACCCAACGTGTCGCCGGCGACGAAGGAAAAGCTGGCCGAGTTTGAACCGCCCAAGTCGGTCAAGAAGCCAGCGCCCGTGGTCGCCGTGCTGCCGTCGGAGCCCGCCGTTGTGCCGCCCGTCGTCCTCGCGCCCGTGCCAGAGGGTGCGTTCTCGTCGATCCCTGACGGCCCAAATCATGCGTGGAACCACTAGTGGCCGTTCCCGTGGTCGATGAGCCGCCGCCACCACCGATGACAACGACGGACGCGGAAGCTCCCCCTCGTCCGCCGCAGCACCCGCCCGTGGTCTCGCAGAGCTTGAGCAAGTCGATTGCGTTCAAGCGGGTCCGACCCTCCGTCCTCAAAAGATAATGACGTATGTAGAACGTCATGCCCAACCTGGAGACGCACCAGCTGCACCAGCCCGAGCGCCGTCCGTCCTTCTCGAACGGCGGTCGGCCGCCCATGCATGAAAGCGGCAACAACCCGAACCTGCACTTGGAGATCTCCAACTTGGCTGCGAGCGTCGGCTTTAGCTTGAGCCGCAGCTTGCGCGTGAACGAACACGTGCCCCTCGACGACCACATGGCGCCAAAGGCCGCGCCGGTCTCGGCCTCGCAAGCGTAGTCTTGATGCGCGTTCTTGCGCATTCTGCTGATGAGTATGGTGTATGTAGGGACTACGAGCTGCGCAACCGCAGCCACCGGGAGAAGGAGCTCGTGCACGCCTTAGGGCCCGAAGGTGCAGGCGCGCCCCGCGAGGCGCTCAATGAAAAAGCCGTCGCCGTCATCCGGCGCGTGCAGGCCAAGCTCACGGGCCGCGATTTTGACGACTGCCGCGAACCGCTCAGCGTCTCGGATCAGGTCCAGCGCTTGATCACGCAGGCGGCGTCGCACGAGAACCTCTGCCAGTGCTACATTGGGTGGTGCCCGTTTTGGTAAACATGTACAACTTGTCTATTGGCGACGTTTATCACTCGGGTGGGTGGGAGATACCCTCCCACGTTGACAGTGTGCGAAGCGTCCCGTCGTACAAGCAACGAGGCATCGAGAGCTGCCAGCGATTTACTGCTCGACGCCACACCACGAGATCAACCGTGTTGGACTCCCTTGACGTCACCAACGCAACCACGTGCCATCGAACGGTCGGGTACCGAAGCCTTTGGTTTTCCAAGTCGTTCGACCCGTGCCACACGCGGTACTGTCATCATCGTCCGCAGCTGCGTTGGCCTATCAGCAATGCTATTGAGGCAACGAGCTGCGACGATGGTTCGCAAGTGCGCGACCAGATGCCCCATGCACCGTGGGACACGATGATTCTGTCACCTTGTGCCGCATCGCTCCGGTTCGCACCACCGTCGTGTAGGCAGATGTGGAGAGGAGGTTAGAGAGCTACCGTACTACAGTACTCTAGAGATACTCGACTGTGGTCTCGCGGTGGCATCAACATGTCATATAGCACGCGAGCCAGATCTGAAATTTTGGATTCCGCGTCCGTGCATCTGATTCCCGTCGACTTGGTTGCACGCATCTGGTTACGACCATCAGATTGCTCTTGGTGCTTATTGTACATTTAGCGGCCATGGCTCCTGGCGTCGAATGGAGTCTTGGGAGCGAGGTCATGGTCACGCTCGCCGGCGTCGGTTTTGTCGGATTGCTCGTTGGCCTCGCGCTGTACGCCAAGTCGGAGAAGCGCGAGATGGCAGCCGTCGCCCTCCTCCGCAACGAGTACCATCCCTTCTTTCGTACGTCTCTCATCTCGAGAGCGCTAGTTTTGTGGGCCAGCTCCGTGGTCGACACCGCCAAGACGTCGAAGACATGTGCGTCCGTGCGCTCGATCCTCGTCGCTCATGCTGCCACGTATGCGTAGCGACGTGGATGCCAACAAGTGGCTCTGCCACGTGTGTGAGTTTGCCAATGCGACCGACAAGAAGACGTGCACGCTCTGCGAGACGCCCCACGGTGCGTTGCATATCCACAACGCAACCATACAATATTGTCTGTCATGCTGTAGACGTTGTCTTGAGCATCGGTGCCACCACCAACATGGCGCTCGCCGTCCTCGCCCACCCCTCGACTCGAAACAACGAAGCGCGCGGTACGACCATTATGTGCCTTGGTACATTGATAGACATGGCGCGTAGCGCGCGCAAGCAGTGGAGCCGCGTGCGGCAGCCCTCCGATGGCGCCGTGCTCTGGACGTCGGCGCTGGAGCTGCAGCCCTCGGACGTCTACTACATGTTGCAGCCCTCGTCGATACCGCCACCGTCACCATCGCTCAAGGACGACGCCAAGGACAAAGATAACGCCAACGACAACGATGACGCCAAGGAGGACGAAGAGAAAGTGCCTCCGGTGCTGCTCGAGATGACCTACTTGACGCCCGAAAGCGCTGCTCGCACCGTGCTGGGGACGATACTGCCGTCGTGGTGGCTCACGCAGCTCGAGTCGCTCCGGCTTCAATCGTTCTCGATCAAGTACATTTGGCTCCTCGAGCAAATCGCGGCCTCGTACACGGAGAAGGTCAAGGTCAAGGTGTACCGCGACAAGATCCTCACCGAGTCGCTCGAGATTCTGCTTGCGCTGCCGCACGACAAGCTCTGTTCGTTCACCCGCGTATCGCTCTATGGCGAGAGCGGTGTTGACGCCGGTGGGCTCCAGCGCGAGTGGTACACGCTCCTCACCCACGCGCTCTTTGAACCGTCCACCGGCCTCTTCATCGCGGCCAACCAAGCCGAGCGGTCGTTCGGCATCAACCCGCACTCGGCGCGCGACCACGGCGAGACGCACCTCGCGCGGTTTGAGGCGTTTGGCCGGCTCCTCGCTCGCGCGATTCTCGACGGCCAAGTGCTGCAGTGCCACCTCTGCGTCCCGCTCTTCAAGGCGCTTCTTGGCACGCCGCTCTCGATGGACGACGTCATGCATTGGGACGCGACCGTGTATGCGAGCCTGTGCTACATTCGTGACGCGCCGAGCGTCGACGACTTGGCGCTCGATTTTACGGTCCACGGGCCCGATGACACTATTGTCGAGCTGGTGCCGTTTGGCGCGCAGATTGCCGTCACGAATGAAAATCGCACCGAGTACGTGGAGGCGATGACCAAGTACCTCCTCTTTGACCGCATTCGAGACCAAGTGTCGGCGCTCGTGCATGGGTTCTACACGGTCTTGCCCGAAGAGCTGCTCTTGCCGTTCGACTACAAGGAGCTCGAGCTGCTCCTCTGCGGCACGTCGGCGATCGATGTCGACGACTGGCGCCTCTTTACCGCCGTCTCGTTCTCGCTCGCCATCACCAACTGCAACGATTGGTTCTGGGCCATTGTGAAAGACGAGATGACGGACGACGACCGCGCGCGGCTGCTGCAGTTTGCGACCGGCTCATCGCGCGTGCCGCTCCAAGGGTTCAAAGGGCTCACGAGCTACGATGGCCTTTTGTGCCCGTTCTCGCTCCAGGCGATCGAGTACAAGTACGGTGCGCTGCCGCGCGCGCATGCGTGCTTTAACCGCATCGACTTGCCGCTCTACCCGACGCGAGCGCTTTTGAAGGAAGCACTATTTGTGATCGTCCGTCTCGAGATGACCGAGTTCACCCTCGTGTAGACAGCCAACAAAGGCTGTAGCGGCCCCTTGACAACTTTACATGTATCACAGCGCGTATTTTCGCAACTTGGCGGCAGGTTCCAGGGCACGACAATTGGACGAATGCCGGCACAACGCAGAAGTCGATGCAGCCCAACCATGGCGGCCAAGGACGCAAAAGATTGTTCTTGACTGCCTCGTATCAACATGCGAGGTTCCTGCAAAGTGGGCTCGTAGAAAACCTGGAGGCTCTTTAGGACGTCGAAAGCCAATTGGCAAAATTTGGCGATGCAAACGTCTTGTACTGTACCGTGTGGTACGAAACTCTATTCTAGCGCTGGCGTCTTTTCCAGATCAGATCTGGTTGCAGATGAGAAATCTACCCATCGCCATCGCCATCGACGCTCGACGTTCGACTGCCACTCGCTCGCCGGCCGCGATCTTTTGCCGAATCGCCGCTTGTGATTGGTGGATTTAAAAGATTTCTCGGTGCATGATTGGTCCATGTCAAAGATACCGTTGTGGCCATGGCGACCATGCTACCCGAGCTCGTCGAGCTCATCGCGGTCTACATCGCGCAGCCTTACGACCTCCTGCGCTACCTCTGTGCATTTGAGAACAGACTTGCGCTGCGTTTGCCGTTCCGAAGCCTCCGTGCGCTGCTGTCGGCAAGCATGCGCACGCCCGGCCTCCGCGTCTGGCCCGAGCTCGAGCTGCCGCACGACATCGCCTCGCTGCACCAGTACGTGTGCGACTGCATGGAGCTGTTTCCAATCGTACGGACAACGTCGCTCGAGGCACATGGCGCTTTGCGCCCCGCGACGCTGCTATCGCTGACCACCCTCACGACGCCCGACGAGGTCCGTACCGCTTGCATGGCGCCATGGCGACATCGGCTCGTCGCGCTCGAGCTGCACCTTTGGGACCGCATCTTGGTAGACGACGCGTGGACACCAACGTCGCTGGGCTTGCTTGGCGCGTGCTTTCGTTTGCAGCATCAGCTTGCCTCGCTGTGTCTGCGCTGGCAACTCGGCCAGAGCCAGCGCGCCTTCGAGCACATTGTTCTTGGCGACGTCCTGGAAAGCAACGTGTTGCATTTGACGCTGTCGTTCAACGACGCGAGCAAGGTGATTTGGAGCGATGCCATGGCGACGCGTCTCGGCTCGTGGCTACGCTCGTCACGCGTGCAGTCTCTGGCGCTCCAGGGGCTTCGCTTCGACTCGATGCGCGCGGCCACGCTCCTCGTCGACTCGATGCATGCGCTCCGCGACTTGCGTATCGAGAGCCTGCAACTCGAACGCGCACTGTGTCTGCGGGCGTCGCTGCCGTCTGCGCTGCGATCGCTTTGCATCCACGGTGCGTCGGTGCTACCGCAGTGGCGCACCGCTGCTTCGCTCGCGACGCTGGCACTACACTATGCATGCCCGATACACAGCCGTGGCCGCGTCTGGGCCATGCGACCGCACCTCCATCGTCTTCGCACGCTTGTGCTGCCCAACGTGGATCTCGAGAACGAACACGATCGAGAGGCGCTCATGGCGCTCTTGCCGCAGCTCACCGAGCTGCACCTCGACACCAATCACCTCGGCGACGCGGGTGCTCTACCGATCATCGCCACTTTGCACCGGTGCCAGTACCTCCAAGTGCTCTCGCTCGACCAGCAAGGCATCACCGACGTCGCTGCGATCGCGCTCACACAAGCCCACAAACCGCCCTCGTTGCGCACGCTTCGATTGGCGCGCAACCGAGTGACGTGCCGTGGCGTCACGGCGCTCTGCCACGTCATGCCGTATCTGGATGTGCTCGATCTGAGTCGCAACCGGATTGGCGGCAGTGGCGCCAAGGCCCTCAGCAGTGTCTTGTCACAGACGGCGCACATGCGGACGCTCGACGTACAGATGAACATGCTCGGCGAGGCCGGTGTCTTGGCGCTGATCGCGTCGCTCCGTAAAGAGAGAAACCTGCGCGCCGGCGTTCTCGTCCTCAGCGCGACGGTGCCGCGCGCCCACGTTCGGACGTGCCGAGCCGCGATCCAGTCGCTGCCTTGTCCGCACTGGGTCATCCTTCGGGGCTAGAGTACGAGTACCTCTCGGGACCGGCGCAATACCGGCAACTTGATGACGACACCCTTTCGTTCGAACGTTATGCGACGGATGGGTTGATGGAGGAAGGGATGGTT